CCCGCTACGCCCCGCCGCCGCAGCCGCCGCAGTGGCTGTGAGGGGGGCCGGGGCGCTTCGACCCTTCCGGTCGAGTTCCCTCCGCAGCCGCCGCCGCCGCCGCGGCGCCCCGCCTGACTGACCGGAGGGACAACCAATCAGCGAGCGGAGAGCTAGGCCGACACGGCCAATCGTGCCAGGAGGTCGAACCTCTGCTGGGTGTTGCAGGCGGGGCGGCGGGCGGAGCCTGAGGCCTCGGTTGAGGAATGGTGGCGTGCAGTGCTGCTGAGGCCGCTCACTTGCTCGGGCCAAGAGGCCACCGCGTACAGACCTACCTTGTTCGTACCGTGGGCTGGAGGCGCAGGCACGGCTCGGCCCGGCCGCCGAGCCTGGCAAGGAGGGCGCGGCACGACCGCACACGGACGCGGGAGGCGGTGGAGAGGGTGGACAAAACCAAGATCCGGGCTGGAGGCGGCCCTGGCTGGGGCGCCTCGCTGTTGTGGGGCCCAGCAGGAGCTGGCCTCGGGGCTGCGGGTTCAGGCTCGCAGCGGCCAGGCGGCCTGGAGGTGGACGGAGAGCCGGCCTGTTTGGGGGAGAGCCCGAGCGAAGGCAGGGGAGGCTGGGGCCTGGGCGCCCGGGAACCGGCGTGGAATGGCCCTGGGGGAAGTGGGAGGAGAAGCGCGGGACCTTGCGACTCCGCTGCTCACTGCAGCGGGGGGGGGGCTGCACGCGCCTCGGTGAAGAGGCTTGTAGGGGATGCGGCCAGAAGCCAGTAGTTGTGGGGGAGACCCTACAAGATGGAGAGGTCATGTGTAGACAAACTCTCCCAGCTGGTCAGCGACTGAGGGGAGGAGAGGATGGACTGGTGCATCTGGTGGCAGGTCCAATACCTCAGTTTCGGAGGAATAGAGGGGCAAAGTCGTAAATGGAGTGTGTAGCGCTGGTAGCGCAATGATTAAAGGGCTTGGGAGCTAACCAAAAGGTAGGCGGTTCAAACCCACAAGCTGCTCCGCGGGAGAAAAGACCTGCCAGTCTGTTTCTGTAAAGATAAAACATCCTAGAAAGCCTTATGGGGCAATTCTACTCAGTCCTATAAGGTCGCTATGAGTCAAAATAGACTGGAGGGCACACAACGACAGTGCTGAGGACTTACTAGGGACTAGGGTCCGTTGACACAGAGCTTTTGGGGCTTCTCCAGCAGCCCTCAGGCGCCTGGGGTTGGGTGACTAACTGCAGGCTTGGTGTCTTAGAAGATGATGAGAGAGTTTAGGGTATCATCTAGTGCTGCCGGATATGCTAGATCTGCGTTTGGATAAGCAGAGCTGGAAGTGAAGCAAGGAGGCTGAATGCATTTAGAGAAAACTTGGAGGCCAGTGGATGGGGTGGGAGTGGGGAAAATTAGACTTTGGGGATGGGAAGAGTAGGAGACGGTGCTTGGCAAATGGTGACCTTGGAGAAGGAGCAGCAGTCCCAGGATGCCAGGGTCCATGGAGTGACTAGGAGTCAGGGCCAAAGTGGGGGGAAGGAGCAGGACCCTGTAGATGTGGTGGTCAAGGGACTGAGGGGCATGGGTGGCAGAGCTTGAAGAGAGCAGCAAGACTGACTAGGTGTCAAGGGCACCCAAGTGCTGAGCAAGGCTGGTGGCACCACCAGGATCTCAGAGGAGGGATGGGGTAGAGGAAGGGATCAAGTCATGGTGTCCCTATTAGGCCACCCCCACCTTGGCCACCAGAGAGGGTTTCTAAAACTGACTATAGCTCACCCCTCTTGACTGTGACCTTCAACGGAGGGCCCACCTGATGGGTTCCTGCTGACACTTCTCGACATCTGCCACCTGCTTCAGGCACCCTGACTTCATTTGCACCACAGAGAACAGGAAACCAAAAATGGCAACATCAAGGATTTGGGAAAACTAGTAAGAGCCTGGCTATCAGTTGTGATTCTACCAAGGAGCACTTGTGGAACCTTCCCCTCAGATTTGGAAGGGAGCACCAATTCCCAGACACACACAGGGCCAGATTTTACAGCATCCACCTTTAAAATACACCCTTTACCCTATGCAAAGTGAGTAACCAGCAAATCAAAAGTACAAGGAGATACCATCTCACTCTGACATTACTGGCACTAATAATAATAATATAAAAAAATAACAAAATAATAAATGTTAGATTTTGAGGGAATTAGAACTCTTATGCACTGCTGGTGGGAAAGTAAAATGGTCCAACCACTATGGAAGACTATATGGCACCTCCTTAAAAACCTTGAAGTAGAAATACCATACGATTCACCAATGTCATTCCTAGGAATATATCCTAGAGAAATAAGAGCCGTCACATGAGTAGACACATGCACACCCATGTTTACTGCAGCACTATTCACAATAGCAAAAAGATGGAAATAACCTAAGTGCCCATCAACAGATGAATGGATACATAAATTGTACATACACACAATGGAATACTACACAATGATAAAGAACAATGATGAATGTGTGAAACATCTCACAAAATGGATGAATCTGGAGGGCCTTATGCTAAGCGAAATAAATCAATCACAGACAAATGAGACCACTATAATAAAAACTCAAGAAAAGGTTTACACACAGAAAACATTCTTTGATAATTATGAGGGAGGGGAGGAATAGGGAGGGCAAATCACTATGTAGCTGACAAGTGTCAACTTTGGTGAAGGGAAAGACAACACGCAATATAGGGGAAGTCAGTGCAGCTTGACCAAAGGAAAGTTGTAGAAGTTTCCTAGACGCATCCAAACACCTTGAGGACTGAGTTGCTGGGGCTGAGGGCTGGGACCAAAGTCTTGGGGGACAGCTAGGTAAATTGGCATAATGTAGTTCATAAAGAAAATGTTCTACATCCTACTTTGTTGTGTAGCATCTGGGGTCTTAAAAGCTTACAAGCAGCCAACTTAGATACATCTATTGGTCCCATCCTGTCCGGAGCAAAGGAGAATGAAGAAAACAAAACACACAAGGAAAATAATTAGCCCAAAGGAGTAAAAGACTACATGAACCACAGCTCCACCAGCCTGAGCCAAGAAGAACTAGATGGTGTCCTGCTACCACCGCAGACCAATTCTGACAGGGATCACAAATAGTCCCAGACAGAGAAGGAGAAAAAATTCAAATTCACCAAAAAAGACCAAACTTACTGGTCTGACAGAGACTGGAGGAACCCTCGAGACTATGGTCCCGGACACTCTGCTAACTCAGAACTGAAGCCACTCCCAAAGCCCACTTTTCAGCCAAAGATTAGACAGTCCTATAAAACAACACACATGAGGACTGTGCTTCTTAGTTCAATCAAATATATGAGACTGTCTTAGTTATCTAGTGCTGCTGTAACAGAAACGCCACAAGTGGATGGCTTTAGCAAACAGAAGTTTCTCTAACAGTCTAGTAGGCTAGAAGTTGGAATTCAGGGCACCAGCTCCAGGGGAAGGCTTTGAATCTGTCAGCTCTGGAGGAAGGTCCTTGTCATCAATCTTCTCTTGGTCTAGGAGCTTCTCCTCGAAGGAACCCTGGATCCAAAGGATGCGCTCTGCTCCCAGTGCTGCTTTCTTGGTGGTGTGAGGTCCCCCTCCCCTCATCTAATTCTCTTATATCTCAAAAGATATTGACTCAAAATACAACCTAATCTTGTAGATTGAGTTCAGCCTCATTAACTGCCTCTAATCCAGCCTTATTAACATCATAGAGGTAGTATTTACAACACATGGGAAAATCACATCAGATGACAAAATGGTGGACAATCACACAATACTGGGAATCATGGCCTAGCCAAGTTGACACAAATTTTTGGGGGGCACAATTCAATCCATAACAGAGACCAAATGGGCAACTCTTGCCCAAAAGCAAGATGAGAAGGTGGGAAGGAGCAGGAAAGCTGGATGAATGGACACGGGGAACCTGGAGTGGAAAGGGGGAGAGTGCTGTTAAATTGAGGGGATTGCAACCAATGTCACAAAACAATATGTGTATTAATTTTTGATTAAGAAACTAAATTGAGCTATAAACTTTCACCTAAAGCACAATAAGATTAAAAAACAACAAAAAAGTGAGTAACCAAAAATCACTGCACACACACAGTCTCACTGAGTTTTCTGTAAGCCTCCTATTTATTCCGGAAACACTGCTTTTTTTTGGTTTATGAAAGACTGAACATTTATGGACACAGAGCTGAAGTGATAGGTAGAGGAGAGGGACTTGTCCATGCCTTGGAGAATGACACAGAATCCTGGGAGAGGCAGACAGGTGAAAAGATCCTGCCCCAATTGTGATGAGAACAGGGCCCACTGGAGCATGAAGGAGGGACACCTGGTCTAGCCTGCCTGGTGGAGGGAAGCAGCTGGAGAAGGCCTCCTGGTCAAGCAGGAAGCCCAGTTGAGGCTGGAAAGCAACAGGAGTGTTACCAGTCCTCCAGGTCTCGCTTGGCACGATACTGAGACTCAGGTAAAAGCGAAAGAAGAAAACTTTGATTGGCCAAGCAAAGGAGCACACCAGGACCTGTGTCATCAAGATGGCTCCCCCGTAGGCAGGCACAAGGGTTTATATGGGGAGGAAAACAGAACAGGGGCTCTTCTTCAGGGCGTGTTCAGGAACGTGGTCCACCAGGATTAGAGGACAACTTTTATGATGATGTCGTTGTCACTGAGATGACACAGTTGCACTGGGGTTCAGGATTCACAAGATGGCCACAGCGAAGGGAAAATGGTGACTTAGCTCCTCCCAGGCCCCCCCGCCACCCGCAGCAACATCTCTGTGACACGTTGCTAAGAGGACAAGTTGAGGCTCTGTCCACGGGTGCGTTGTTCTGCACCTGCGCGGGCACCTCAGACTGATTCTGTCCAGTATTCGCTCAGCTCCTTATTTTTCAGTCTCGCAGTTTTAGCTTAGCCCTATGCG